CTCTCTCTCTCTCTCTCTCTCGCGTTCCCATCAGCGCACGGCGCACCCATCGTCCTCAGCAAACACACACACACACACACGCACAACCCCCACTCGCCATCGCTCGTCCCAACTCCATCGCGAATCACACCTGCAACATCGTACAGCGCTCGCTCCACTCTCCAATGTCGTTCTAGGATCGCACACAACCACTCCAACCACTTCAACCACCAACAGCCGCCGAAGCTTCCCCTGGGTCATGCTGCATTCGCCCACAACTCGCCTCGTCTAGCCGCCGCGTGGAACCCATGCACATCATTCTCTCTTGAGCTCGTCCGCCGCGGCTTCTTCGCCCACCATGTCCAGAAGAGCACTGCAACTGCAGGCCGACGAGCCGTGGAACTCCCAACCCCCATATCGCATCGCCAGCATCGCCAACGACGCAGACCCCATCGTCGAGCCCGCCAACCCGGCCCGTTCCAATCGAGGCAGGGCTCGCGCAGGCACTCTTCCCTCCAGCTGGGGCGATGCAGTCCCACCACCTCATCCCCACCAACCTCCGTTCTCCAACCCTGTCTTTCAGCCTCCCCATCCCCCCTCCAGCAACCCTGCCGTCGTGGACCAGCCAACATTGGCTCACATCGACGCAACAAGATTCGACTCGGCTCTCCCAACCCTCGCTGCGGCCAACGATGCTCTGCCTGCCGCTTCCACCCGACTCGCTCCTCCACAGACATCGCAGCGCCTTCGCTCCGGATCGCTCACGCTACCAACACCCAACTTGGCAAATGCCTTCGGTCCCTCCTTCTTCTCCTCCCAGTGGCAACCCACCCGCTCCGGTCTCAGCCACATGACATCAGCAACCACCGACGAAGAACCCTACTCTCCCTTCCACCCTTCCCAAGATAACACCCCTCAGCTCTCCTTCGACCATGCCGACATGCTCGACTACCTCGGCCTCGATGGCCGCGCACCTCCATCTCACACGGGACCCCTCGATTCAGACTCGTTCGATCACCGTACAGACCACCTCTCTACAGATCTCGGCCGCCATCTCGCCGATCAAGACGCCTTCTTCTCCTCGGCACAGCTGCGCAATCGCTCCTCCACGCTCGGCGTCCACCAACTACGCCCCAGCCTCAATCAGGGCCAGGCCGGTCGCGCACGCAGCAGCAGCTATCTCCCCTCGTTTGCATTCAGCGCCGCCACCAACACCGCCGACACAAATCCTCAACCAGCACAAATCCATACCCAGGGCCTCACCCGAGCCACCACCCTCTCCGGATCGCAGACACCCTATGCCCAGCAACCACCACACTCGTCGCTCCTCAACACCGCCCTCCACAACCGTCTCCACCAGTACAGCGCCGCAGCTTCTTCCGCCGCGCCTCTCTCCGGTCGTGCTCCCATCAACGCCTCCAGGCCTCGTGCCACCAGCATGGGCGTCTTGGATCAGCCCCAATCTCGCCCACCTCCGCACGCTTCCTACCGGCCTACGCCCTCCGCCGCCGCTGCTGCACCGGGCGCATCCCTTCTCACGCCCCCCGGCTCCGCTGGCTCATCAGGCCTTGGCGTGCCTTCTGCCGCCATTGGCGCCTATTCAGACGAGCTTTCTGGCTTGCTCGCAAATGGTCGAAATCGCGCCGGCACCATCGCAGCATTCTCCGGTCCCGGCGGCCGCGCCAGAGCCGAGCAAGAACTCCTACGCATGACCCAGCTCCAGTACGAGGCAGCCCTCACCAGGGAATTCCAAGCCCAGACACGGCCCAGCTCGTCGGGCATGCTCGATTCCATGCCCACGCTCGACATGTATGCCTCGGCGCGATCCCCGCAGCCAAAGTCCGCACAACGCTCCGGCTCCAATTCGCCCTTCCTTCAGCCTACGCGCTCCCTCTGGATCGGCCATCTGCGCCCCACCGTCACGAGCCAAGAGCTCGTCCAGGCATTCTCGCCCTACGGCGCCATCGAAACATTCCGCCTGGTGCCCGAAAAGGGTTGCGCATTCGTCAACTATGTCGACCTTGCAGACGCCGTGCGCGCAAGGGAAGACGTCGTGGCGCGCCTCGGAGGTCGTCTGGGGCTCGGCACGCTTGGGCCCGAGGCTCAGGTGCGCGTCGGCTTTGGCAAGCCCGAGGCGGTGCCCCAGCCCGGCTTGGGCGGATTCACGCCCATGCTCGACTCGTACGCATCGTCGCTCGACGCAGCAGCCGCAGAGCTCGGCGGCGTGGAAGCGGCCAGCCACGAACCGTCGCGCGCTCTGTGGATCGGTTCCATCCCGCCAACCACCTCGAGCGACGTGCTCGTCTCGGTGTTTGCGCCGTTTGGCTCCATCGAAAGCGTGCGCGTCTTGTCGAGCAAGAGCTGCGCATTCATCAACTTTGAGCGCACCGAAGACGCCATGACCGCGCGAAAGCTGCTCAACGGTCGCGACGTGCTCGGGCCCGAGGTGGGCGCCGTCAAGATCGGCTTTGCCAAGGTTCCATCCAAGCCATCCGAGGGCTACTTTGCCGCACTCGATCCCGGCTCGGCCGAGTTCCAAGCCGCGATGGAAATGCTGGCGTCGATGTCAGCCACTGGCCCACCGCCGCCACAGGACGCACAGATGGCCATGGGTCAGGCAGACTACCGCGCCAATGCCAGCTACGACCCTGCAGCGCGTCAGCACTTGCAGCCCGTGATGGCGGGCTCGCACGGGCTGTCTCGCAACCAGAGTACAGAGTCGTCGCGCGGTGGCGCCGCAGGTACGCCCGGCCGCGTGGCGGGCTTTCCGACGCACAGCTCGTCGAACAGCATCGTGCCGAGCAGCGACAAGGGCGGCGTGCCCTTGCCCGCCGAGATGAAGCCACGCGACACGATCAATGACCTGCAGCAGATGATGAGGCAGCTCGATGCGGCGGACCCGAACGTGGAGTCGGATGTGGCTCGGGTGGCGCGGCCGCGATCGGCAGTGACGTACTACACGCGCATTCCGCCCGTGCAGGAGCTTCCGCTGGGGAAGCGGTTCGACAACAACCGGCTCAAGGAGGTGCGCAAGCGGCTCGAGACGCCGCACTGCCAGCCCGGAGATGCGGACGCGATTGCGCGCGACTATCTGTCGTGTGTGGTGGATCTGGCGAGCGACTTTATCGGAAACACGCTGGTGCAGAAGCTGTTTGAGCGGTGCAGCGAGCCGATGAAGAAGGCCATGCTCGAGCTGATTGCGCCGCACCTGGCGACGATCGGCGTGCATAAGAACGGCACGTGGGCGGCGCAGAAGATCATCGACTGCACGCACGCCGATGACCAGCGAGCGATGATTGCGCACCACATCCGCCCCTACGTCCCGCCACTGCTGCTGGACCAGTTTGGAAACTACGTCGTGCAGAGGTTGATTCCGTTCGGAACGCCGCATTCGGACTTTATCTTCGAGGCCATGGTGGATCGATGCTGGGAGGTGGCGCAGGGACGGTTTGGATCGCGCAGCATGCGTGCGTGTCTCGAATCGCCACACGTGCCGAGGTACCACATGAAGCACGTGGCACTCGCCATTGTGCTCAACTCGGTCCCGCTCGCCACATCGCAAAACGGCGCCTTGCTGGTGACGTGGTTGTTGGACTCCACCCTTCCGGGGCGGTTCAGCCTATTGGCGCCGAGGTTTGGACCGCATTTGGTCAACCTGTGCACACACAAGCTTGCTTCGCAGACGGTGCTGCGGCTTCTGAGCCAGAAGGAGGACATCGAAGCGGGGCGGCAGGTGTTGTATCGACTGTTCGATTCGAATCGGCTCGAGGAGATTCTAGTCGACCAGGTGCATGGCTCGCAGTTCGTCACCAAGCTCGTTACGGAGATTCTGGATGCGGGCGAGAAGCAACGATGTGCAGAGGAGGTCAAGGCACTGCTGGTGCGGCATGGATTGGTGGGGTTGCCACCGTACCGACCGTTGTCGATCGAGCTCGGACTCGTGCAGGCCGTGCCGGTGGAGAGACAGCTGGCGGCGATGAGCATCGGTGCAGGCATGGAGGCGTTCGACCCCTGGGCGGGCGAAGAAGCAACACCGGCGCACAAGGCGGTGGAACAGGGATTCTACGGCTCCAATGCGCCGTTCTACTAGCATACAAAGGTTCTTTCTTGGGTTTTCTTGGGCATACAATATCAACGCATTTCATCTCGGTCTTGTTGCACGAAAGTGGGAGGAAGGGGTTCAGGTGGTGTGCGGTGAAGCTGTAGCTTGAAGGTTTTAGTGTGGGTGGTTGGGAGCAGGATGGGGGGGTGAGTCGCTGAGATGCAGGCAAGCACCGCTCTGGTCGGGGATGTAGCACTGCACGCTGATGTCAAGCGCTTTGCGTGTCTTTGCCGCTAGGAATCGCAATTGGTACGCAGAAGGCGGCGCAGTCGAAGCTGTGGCGGCAAGAGGTGTTACGATACCGCCATTGTGTGTGTGACCCGAATCTTTGCTCGAGTCAAAGAGCAGTGCCGAGGGGAAGCTGGAATTCGCGCGTGCGAAACATGGTGCACCTACGTATCGCCATCGTGTGCAGCGCCTGCACCAGTGGGATCGCAACAACAGTCCGGGCCGTATCCACTCACATTTGTCGGAAGCAGCGCGTTGCGGCATTCCAATGCGATTCTCAAGGGATCAAGTGATCCTGGCGGGCGCAGATGCGGGGAGCGCATGTTGGTCGTCATGGCTCCTTCGACCTGAGCTTGTGTCTTGCTCACACGCACACTCACATTGCTTGATCAGACGACGACATTTGGCTCAACATGCACGCTCGGTGTCTAAAAATACACGCCAGGCAAACTTGCGGGTTGGCCTTGGTGCGCCCACTCGTTACGACGCAGAAGACCCAGCTTTGCCGCGGGGTTGGTTGGTGGCATCATTTTCAGTCGCGTCGATCCTCCTCGCGGTGATGGCGATTCGAAAACCTTGCGGGTCGACGCAGTGTTCAAAGTACCTCTGCAGGTCGTGGCCCTCTTGCACCACCACGCATCCATGGCGTAGTGGCAGATCGAGCACGACGCGGTCGCGCGGTGCCACATCGAACGCTGCAGCGCATTTCGCCTTGAGCCGGAACCGCATCCGACACGTCGAGCCCAGCGAGAGAGACGACACGACAGACCCGAGACCTGGCTCGCCATCGTCGTGAAACGACATGGCCTGATGCTCCAGATACAACACGGGGTACAGCTCGTTGAAATCCGCGCACGAGGCAAGGACCGCGCGCGTGCGTGTGTGCAGTAGGTCGAGCGTCGAGGTGATCACCGCGGGAGAGGTTGCGTCGAGCGGTTCCGTGCCCATGGCGACAACGTGCTTGTACGCCACGCCGTAGTTGCAGGTGAATTGCTGTGTCAGCATGCGTCCGGAGCCGCATCCGTGGTGGGTCAGAACGTGCCGCCGAAACGGCACCAGCTTTGTGCCCACGCCCGCGTTGTTTTTGCCTTCTGCGTCGTCAACCGCTGAAACCGCCGGAGAAGGTTTGGGCATCTTGCGCCGCTTCTTGCTGCATTGCTTCTCCTCGTCGACGTCTTTGGGCCAGGCGTGATGCTGGAAATCTCTGAACAGTCGGTCTGCCACGTCTTCCTGGGCGCCAGCGTGCACATCCGCCTGGACGACGTGCACGGCGCAGTCGCCAAACGTGTCGGGAAACGCAAACGAGTACACCACCAGCCCAGCGTGCCTGCGCACACCCAGCTTGATACCCGAGGATTTGCTCACCACGGGGTCGAAGAACACCGCCTCGCCGCGCGATGGCCACAACTCTCGCGCCAGGGTGGGAGGCGGCACGGTGGGCCAGGGCTTCCACTTGCCCACGGCGTGGCCGCAGTGCGCACAGCACGGGCGGAAGATGACTTCGCGGCAGCTCAGACGGCCGCACTTGCTGCACCACAGCCCGCGAGCCTGGTCCATCGAGCGCGACGAGGGGCGGCGCGGGATGAGCGAGAATGGCGGCGCGCCACCGGGGAACGCCACGTCGAGCGCTGCAGATTGCGGCTGCAGAAAGGCGAGCGAAAAGCCGAGTGTTGATTCGTGAGGAGACCTGCCGGAGGAAGCGAGGAGGAAGAAGAGCGGGCAGTCGGGACGCAGACACATCCAGCCCGTGTCGTACACGGTCGGGCTCGCGAAGCGGCACTGACGACAGCTGGCCGACTGCGCCACGTTGCACGGAGACTCGCCTGCGGGCGTGGCGGCGAACTGCGACACGAGCGTGGCTGACGGCTTGACGGGTCCATAGAGGAGGTGGTCACGCTCGCTTTCGTCGAAGCCTTCCAGGACCGATAGCTTTGCAGGGGTTGATCTCGATGACGACAGCTCGGCGTCAGATGACGAGGTCGACGTAGCATGCTTGCGCTTGCTACCGCGCATGGGCTTGGCCATCTGACGCTGGGCGGCGCTGAACCGCTCGACGCGCTGACGCGGGTCCCAGTCGGCCTGCCTGGCATCGTCTCGAAGCTCCCACCACGGCTCGCCCTGTGCGGGGATCCATTCGAAGCGGAACTTCCAGCGTACGAACGCAGACGGCTGCTCGGCGTCCTTGGCCTCGGCCGCTTCGCGCTCCGCCCAGCAGTCGGTGATGACGTACCAGCCGAGCACGGCGTACGAGCATGGCAGTCGGAATGGCAGCAGCGCATACGCCTCTGCAGCAATGAGCACGATGGGCAGCCGATGGCGAGACGAATGCAGCAGCGCGCGGATCACACTGTCGTTGGCCGATTGATCCTGCTTGAGCGCGGCCTTCTTGGTGGTGCTCGCACCGGCAGGGTCGGCGACCTCGCTCTTGCCGCCGCCGTGCGAGATGATGACGCGGCCATTGTACGCCCAAGCATCGCGTCGTGACGGCCAGCCGGCTAGCAGGTAGCCGTAAGGGATCGAGTCCTTGAGCACCGACGAGGCGGGGTGGAGCTTGGCGGCCGCGGTCGATGGTGGTGCGCCGAGCGAGCCAGTGACGTACGTGCCAGTCTGGTACGCACGGTAGTAAGGGAGACTCTCGCAGAGTTCCTGGCGTGTCTATCAACACGAACGATACAGAGGATGGGGATGGTCAGTTGGATACAAGAGGAGCCAAAGGGGGAATGGGCAAGTCTCACTTCGGACCAGATGATGGGTCCGCTGCGCGGCATGGCTGCCTACGCTGCGATGACGGCTCCGTCGACCGCGACAGTCGGCACGAGTGCTTCGGGCCTGTTCGGAAGCATGCTGAACGGTAGGATGCAGTCCAGCGAGTCGCAGCTTAATAGCGATGGAAGGTCGGATATCGTTCGCGGCGGTTGATGCTTCTCGAGCCAGGGTCCACTTTTTTTTCCATTTTTTGCGCAGCAGCTCAGTCAACTTTGGCGCGGCGGCCGCGTCGGGATGCATCCGAGCAAGTGGAGGCTGAGGCGTGAGAAGGAGGCGGAGCAGCGCATCGGAACTGGCCCGTGCCGCCGCGGATCTTCCGAAGTGATGGTTGGCTTGCGACGATGACCACCGACCTGTAAGAGAGAGGCAAAGATGCAGTCCAACGGCGGTTTTATCATCGACGACGTCTCCGCTGTCTTTGCAGCCGACGCAGGCCAGCCGACCCCTCCAACACCGCATGCCGAGGACCGCCCAGCACCCGATGCAGTCGCCACTCCGAAAGCGCTCACCGCCAAGCAGGAGGCCAAGCTGCGCTCGTATCTCGATGGCGCGCTCGAGGACATCACGCGTGGATACCGCAAGAGGTTCGATCCGTCGTCGCATCTGCGCACGCTCACCGCCTATCTCGACGCCTGGCTGCGCCTGCTCGGCGTGCTGGCGCATGTGCCGCCGTATGGAGGCGGCAGCACCAACCTGCTCGTCTCGTACTTGCTTCGGTGCTCGACCGACATCTGTGATGGTGTCGCTGGCTACAGCCTCGCAATGGAGATTGATGCGCATCGTAGACAGAGCAAGCGCCAGAGCCGAAGAGAGGCCGATCATCTCGAGGAAGAGGCAAGCGGCCGCAGCGGCTCGGACGATGGCGAGGGCGAGGACTCGGATGACGACGACGAGGAGAGGCAGCTTCAAGCACAATTACGCTCCAAGCAGCTCAGCCTGGTGCTTCAGACTATCGACCTGCTCGACCGCATCTGGGCTGCGGTACTGCGAGGCAACCTCATCAATCTGCCCCTCGCCCTGAGTAACGCCAAGCAAGCATACCCGGCCACCTCGAGTGACGCTTCCGTGGAAACGACCGGCAAACCTGCGCAAGCATACGACCCTCGACGAATCCTCTCCACCAGCAGCCTTGTACCTTCGCCCGCCGTCGACGGCCGATTTGTTTCCGGTGCATCCACTTCCAGCAGCAGCGATCCGAGGGAGAGCCTGCCCGTCCACGGAGGCAGGGGCCCCAAGACCGTCGGCGTCACCGACCAGGTCCGCCTGCGCAACATCGCCGTCTCGTCGCGCGACAAGCTGTTCGCATGGATGCGCACAGAGATGGACGCGCCTCCGCCGCCGATCGTGGAGGAGAACGAGCAAGAGCCGGAGAACAACACGATCGAAGGTGCCCTCGGCGCCAGACGAGCGCAGCATCCTGATTCAGATCCGAACGACGACGACGACGACGATCCGGAGATGGAAGATGTGACGATCGACGCTCAAGTCGACGAAGAAGGCTACGACCTCGCAGACGATACCGAGGAGCACAAGCACTACCAGGACCTGTTTGAGCGCAAGCTCGATCCCGATGCAGACGACGACGATGATGACGAGCCGACGTTAGATGGCGCACGTCCCGACTCTGATTCCAACGCTGACGTGACGCGCACAGATCAGGGCCTTGGCGCCTCGGTGCTGGGCACGGTCGAAGCGGTCACGACCGATGCCCACCACGACAAGCGGAAGCGTGACGACGACGGAGACGGAGACGGGGCAGAAGCGAGCGAGGCGCGGGCGGATGCATGGCCAGGCAAGCGACCACGCGCGGCAGACTCGGACACCGACGAGGCCGATGCCAAGATGAGCCGTTCCGAGCTGGGCTCGATCCACGCCGCTCTGCCCGAAGCCATCGGGCGGTGGGATCTGGCCTTCACACGCCTCTTCTCGCGCACGCTGCGCACGCTCAGCGATCTCGGCGAGGCTGCCAGACACAAGGCCTCCAAACGCGACTTCACCACCAATCTCACCGGCATTTCCGGCGCAGACGAGACCGAAGCTGCAGACGATCTAGCCTAGCGCTGTGTAATTCTACATTTAGGATTGTATTCGCCCTCTCATGGCGGGGACTAGTAGGCGTACTTCTTGCGAGCCTGTTTGGCGATGAAGCCGGGGAAGATCTTGTCGATCCAGGTGGCGAAAGCGTAGAAGCGCGGTAGGGTGAGCGTGCCGTGCGAGTATCGGTCGACGGCAAAGATTGTCTTTTCCGCCACGCTGGCTGCCGACAGCATCTTTTCGCCCTTGACCCACGCGAGGTCCTGCGGCATTTCGGTGCTTGCGTCCAGGTCGACGGCCGAATGACGGAAGCTGGACGAGATGGTGCCCGGACAGACGGCGAGGAATCGCACATTGGCACGACGCTTACCCGACGCAGCGGGGGCGGCTTCTTGGTGAGCCTGCGCCTCGATAGCGACCGAGCGGAAGAGCGAGAGCTGCGCCGACTTGGTCGCGGCGTATACCGAGCGAGTGGGTGTGGCGAAGAGCGCGGCGGCGGAAGACATGAGCACGGCGGCAGGGAAGCGCGACGTGGTCTGCAGCATGGGCAGGAATGCAGCCAGGCACACGGCGGTTCCAGCTACGTTGACGTTGGATGCACTCGTCACGGCCTGTTGCACTGCCTCGAGGCCGGCCTTGTCGGCGTACACTTTTGAGGCGTCCTGCTTCGAAGCGGGCCTTACCGGATCGACACCGGCCACACCCAGGAGGGGAAGCAGGGCAGAAACGCCAAAGCAGATGTGCAGCGTATCGAGCCCCTTGAACTTGGCCGAGACCTGCTTGCGCAAACGGTCGACGTCGGCGGCCTGCGAGCAATCCGCCGAGATGCAGTGGATGCGCGTCTCGTGCTGCAGCTTGGCTTCGTCCCCGGGCGCTTCGTCGGACATGTCGTACTCTTCGCCCTCCTTGGCCTGCTCGATGCACCGCCGCTTCACCGCCTCCAGACCCTCGAGGTTGCGTCCGACGAGGATGAGGTCGCGGCAGCCGCGACGTGCATACTGCAGCGCCAGCGCCTCGCCCACGCCGCGTTCGTTGGACGCACCCAGGATCAGCACGCGCTCCTCGTAGATCTTGATGCGCTGCGTGCGCGGCCGCGCCGAAAAGTGGAAGGCAATCGCCAGCGGCACTGTAATCACCAGACACGCCAACGTGCCCATCAGCGACAACGTCTGCGAGTCAGGCGCGGCAATGCCGACCTTGTTGAGCGCAAGATGCACCAGATCCATCCTTGAATGTCTTGATCTTCTTGCGGCTCTTCCGACAAAGATGGTGAGGATGTGCAAAGTCGAGAGCACGGGTTGTTGCCCCGGTCCAGCTGCCCGACGGCTTTCAACTGCCAAAACGGTCTCGGCTCGGCTCGAAGATGTGGAGTTGGAAAGGTGAGGTGAGCGACGAAAGTGGAGGTGTGCTTATGTAATGCTGATTTGGTCGGGCTGGTTCCGTTGCGCTTCTTCTGAAATTTTTTGGAAACCGCGCTGAGGAGGCGCCGAGAGCCGCTGTGACAGATTTCGAGCTGCCGAAGGCTTCGACGCCTCACCAGAACTAACCGCTGGACCACATCAATCTCCCAACTCTCTCTCTGCATCATCGCCTTGCAGAAACTGCATCGACAACATGGTCGGAAGGAATCGTTCCGACTCGGAATCCAGCTCGTCGTCGAGCTCCAGCGGCTCGTCGGTCGAAGCTCGCACTACCCAGGTCTCGACGAGCAAGCTGCCTGCGTCGCGCAACCTCTCCAACATCGCATACCGACCACCACGCGGGTTCGAGCCCGTCTCATTCTCGTCCTCGTCGCCCTTTCTTCACAGCAAGCTGGCGGCGGCCGACAAGCAGCAGCAGCTATGGACTGTGCGCATCCCGGGGGGACTCTCGCCTGCGGAACTGGATGGGCTCGTGATTGACCTGCCACGAGACTCGAAAGACGCGAGCAAGCCGCTTGCATCGATCCAGGTGGCGACCGCTTCGCCAGCTGTGGTGGATACGTACAACCTGTACGCGTCTGCGTCTGCGGCAGCCAAGGGCAAGGCGAAGAGCACGGCGTCGAGTGCCGACTCGCAGCTGATCGTCATGGCATCGGACAAGGCGGTGGACCAGGCGGTGGAGGCAGGTGCAGCCGTCGGACAGGGTGCAGCCACGGAGCTCGAGAGTCTGAGGCTGCTTGTGCCCGCAGGCGACGGTGGCGAGGACGGAAAGATGGTCGTGGCGCCAGTCAAGGTGACCCGGTGTCTGCATCTCTCCATCGCCTCGCCCGCCGAGACCACCCAGGCGCAGAAACCCATGCAGTCGGCAAACACGTTCGAACAGGATAAGCTGCCGCAACAACCGTGGCATCTGCTCAAGGGCAACTTGTAAGTCATCTCGCTAAAGTACGCGCAGTGCGATGTGCATCTCCCAGAATATTGACCTTCTTTGGCATTGTGGTGTTCGCAGCAAACCTGCGGGAAGCCGTGGCCCGACACAAACCTCAGCAGCCGTCGAGGAGGACAAGCGGGACAAGAAGCGCAAGGTCAAGAGCGAAGCCGGCGCCGACACCGACGGAAAGAAGTCCAAGAAGTCCAAGAAGTAGCTGTGTTCGTCGCTCGTTCGTCCAGGGTTCTCATGACTGCAACGACACCATCACCATTCGAGTCAAGCCCGCGTATGTGTGTGACGACTGCGAGAGATAAATTGCATCGGGGAGGTAATCCATACGATTCCGAGATGAGGATGCCTTGTGTCTTTGCCGAATGTAATGAGCGGCTGTCTCCGATTGAGGCTGGTCGAATCGGCAAGATGCGAGTGCCACAAAGGTGAACCGACCCCCCAACAAAAATGTCGGGCTGGCTGGCTCGCGCGTGTGTAGCAGCGCGAGACCCTGAGATGGTTGGTCCCTGGCTCGAAGAAAAAGTTCGGAAGAGCGTCGGTGAAATTCATGGCGGCGCGCTGGAGCGGTGTGTTTGCCTTTTTGTTGGTGGGGTGGAGAGGGTGGATTTTCGGATTAGGAAGAACAGGGCGGCGCAGGCACTCCGAGTGGTGATGATGATTGTGGATTAATCGATAAATTCCTCTGCCGCCAGAGAGACACAGAGAGAGAGAGAGCATCTGCAGCTCAGGCCAGGCGAGAAAGCGCCGGTCATCTCGCTCCCACCTCTCTTCCCGTCTGTCACCGCACCACCATCGACTCTTGTGCTGGTACCTCTGATTCACTCGCGCCATGTCCGCATCACGCAACCTTGTGCGTCCAGCCTCGAGGCTGTTGGCGGTGGCCTCCTCGTCGCGCTCGGCCGCCGCACGCGCGTTGACCACATCGGCGGTGCAGAATGCCGTGACCAAGTTCACAATGCCCGCCATGTCGCCCACCATGACTTCGGGCGGTATCGCCGCGTGGAAGGTCAAGGAAGGCCAAGCATTTTCGGCGGGCGACGTGCTGCTCGAAATCGAAACCGACAAGGCCACCATGGACGTCGAGGCTCAGGACGACGGCATCATGGCCAAGATCGTCGTGCAGGACGGTGCCAAGGACGTCGACGTCGGCAAGACGATCGCGATGATCGCCGAGGAGGGCGACGACATCTCCAACGTCCAGGTGCCCGAGGACGTTGCTGCTCCGCCCGCTGCTTCTTCGGACCCGTCTGCTCAGACTTCGGACAAGTCGGAGCCTGAGGCGTCGACACAGACCGCTGCTTCGACGGCAGCTGCAGCACCGAGCACGCCAGGCGCCTCGAGCTCCAACACGCACCACCACTTCAAGGGCCCGCTCTTCCCGTCCGTGCAGCGCCTCATCGCCGAGAACAACATCGAGGATGCAGAGACCAAGATCAAGGGCACCGGCGTACGCGGCATGATCACCAAGGGCGACGTGCTTGCGTTCCTCGGCAAGGCAAAGACGCCCACCGGCTCGTTCAAGGAGCCCAAGGGTGGCATCGCCGTGCTCGGTCCCAGCCAGTCAGCACCCAAGACAGGCCCAGCATCCGGCACAGCGCCCAAGGCTCCTCTCGAGCCGCTCACCGGCGACGCGCTCCGATCGCTGATTATCGGAGGCCTCGCATCGTCCTCTCGCTCAGCACGACAGGCAGCATCAGCACCCGCACCCGCACCCGCACCCGCACCC